TAGAAGTTCTTAACCACGACACTATCTGAGACACTCTCAGTGGTGTTCTGGGCAATAGAGGCCAAGGATGCTGTTAAACATCCTCTTACACATAGGATAGCCTCCCCCCCCTCCAAGGAATTATCCCACCCAAAATGTCAACAGTGCTGGAGGAGGTTCATTAACAGGAGAACCAGGTTGGACCCAGGTCTGCTACTGTAATTATCCAGAATAAAACATAAAATAGAACCACTTCTGTTTTTTTCTGTGAATAGACCTTTAAAAAGGGAAGATTTAGAGAATTGCCTATTCTTCCCCCAGCCAAGCTCAACCATCCACTCCCTCTTCTTCCATGGAGGAGGATCAGCCCAGCTGGGGGCTTGGCAGCTCTCTCCAGGGAATGCAGCTCTATTACACTGAGTCCCAGTGAGGTTACTGATGCAGGTATGTCACATACAGCATGTCTAGCACTCTTTCTGCCCTTTCCCCTATGAAACTGACCCATTGGCTGTGCCGTCAGCAGCACTGATACTGAGGGAGCCTCTGGGGTCAGATGCTGGACCAACCACTCAAGTGAAGGCAGTATAAATTCCACCCTCCTAAACATAGCTGGTCCCACTGATAAATTAATTACACAAGGCAACCAGCACATGTAGGGACTATATGTGCTGAAGGTCTGAAGACACTGCATTAGAGTGTCTATGAATCCAGGGATGTTCTTCACTAACACCAAAACATGGATGAAAGAAATCAGAGATGACACAAATGGAAAAACATATGCTCAGGGATGAGAACATTGTTAAAATGTCCATACTACCCACAGTGACTTACAAATTCAGTGCAATTCCCAACATATTTCACAGATCTAGAAAAAGTAATTCTACACTTCGTTTGGAACCAAAAAAGAGCCCAAATAGCCAAAGCAATCTTGAGGCATTATATTGCCAGACTTCAAACTATATTACAAGGCTATAGTAACCAAAACACCATGGTATTGGTGCAAAAATAGAGACATAGACCAATGGAACAGAAGAGAACTCAGATATAAAACCAACAACCAACTGATTTTCGACGAAGCAGACAACAACATACACTGGGGAAATTGGATAGCCACATGCTGAAGAATGAAACAGGACCCCCTGTCTCTCACCACTTATAAAAATTAATTCAAGGCATGAAACCATAAAAATTCTAGAAGAAAATGTAGAAAAAAAACTCTTCTGGATATGGGCCTACACAAAGAATTTAGACCCCCAAAGATAATTACAACAAAAATAAATGGGCCTTGATTAAATTTAAAGGCTGCTGCACAGCAAATACACTACATAACCAATAAAGGGCTAATATCCAAAGAACTCAAAACAATCCCATTAAAAAGTGGGCAAAAGACATGAACAGAAGCTTTTCAAAAGATGAAAAAATGCTCACTGTCACTAATCATGCAAATTAAATGCAAAATTAAAACCATAA